AAGAAATTTCACTAGTCCCCCACAATCTAGAGGATAAAGTCCAAGTATCTTAGCATGGTATTTAATCTGGCCCCAACCGACCTAATTCATGCACCCTACACACACAGCCAAACATCTTTGTACCACTGTGTCCACTCTTTTGTCCCTCTACATACTTTCCTTCTCTATAATCTTAAAAAAATAAAAATTTAAATCCTTAAAATTAAAAATACTTCTCAAACTTCAAGATCCTGCTCCAACACAGGAAGCATCCCCGAAGCACCTCAAACCTTTCCTTACTATGTTCCCCACACTAACTGCACCTTCTACAGTAACCACTCTGCCCTCCTTATAGTCGACGCCCTCCAGTGGCCCCCAGCACTGCCCACCAGGCATTTTATAAGGTCCTCAAAGGCAGATGCCATGTATTTAGTTCGGCGCCCAGGGCAACACAAACTGAAGGACGGGGTGGACGACGAGATGGAGGAGGAGAGAAAAAGGGAAAGAAGGAAGGCCAAATGGTAAGAGAAAACGTTCTGTTTTAATGACATTTTCTCAGTCAACCAAAATTGGTTTTGCTCATAGCAAATTCTTCAAATATCTAACACATTTTCTTTTTTAGAACCATCCTGAAAGATACAGATTGTATTTTTTTTAATGCTTTGCCAGCATTACATCTTTTTCTTCTTGTTTTCTATGTCGCTACAGACTCATCTACATTTATCTAAAGAAGGCCTGGTGTTCCCCTAAAGCCTGTGGGCATGTATAACGTGCTGTGCCACATGGGGACAATAGAAATGGGAATCAACTCAAGAGCACCTAACACACATGCACGGCTATATACATGTTGCTATCTAGGTACATATATGTTATACACACACATATATACATCTCCAATATGATAAGAACAATTTTATATTATAGCCATTATTGAAACAGGTTCAAATACCTTTAATATTTTGCCTCTTCTCATGGGTTGGGTCAAACTTCTGCCTTGTGGATCCCTAACACTCCCAGTGCCGACTCTCAATAGTCCAAGGTGAGTTAACTTTTCTCTAGGGTCATTCTTTATTTGAGGTTTACAAGAGCAGGATGCCAGCAAGCCTAAGTGTGCCAAAAGCTGGTTCATTTGCCATCGCTCCTTACGACATTCGGTGAGAGGATCTCTGTGCTCAAAAGAAAGTACAACATGGCCTCTTCCTTTAGTCCCCACCAGACCAGCTGTCTACAGGAAGGAGAGGAAGATGGAACTGACTCTAGATAAGTATGTCGCTTAAGCCTTTCCAAAAGGATAGTTCAGACATCTCTTTTCTGGGTTGGTAGGAAGTTTCCGTTTCTGCCTAACTCTTCTTAAGGGACGAACAAAGAATGTGCTCTTTAAACCTAGCTTCACAAAGACGGCTCTCCACTGCTCCAGATTCCTGGGCCAGTCTGACTAATGAGCGCAGCTTCATTTCATCCAGGCAGCCTCAAATCAGGCGACTTGCTCTCTTAACACGCTACACGTTTCCACTGTCTCTTTTTCTCCCAGAGCCAAGATACCTAAATCAAGGGAAGAAGTTAAGTGATATGGGCAGCTTCAGGTCAAAAGTAATAAAAAACTGTGAAGGCCTACCGTCTGACAACATAACACTATTATCAAAAATTTTATCAAAACGAGAGCTCATTCTCTGGTTTTCTAGTCTTTGTCCTTGAAAGAACAAGTAATAACGAGTCACAAAAACCTACAATACTTTGCTTCCCATTTCCCTGCTGCTATTAAGTTTACAACTTTATTTAGAAACAGCTGACTTCACAGCTTCTGCCAGCCAGTAGCCCTTTAACACAAGGGCTCAACACGAAATCCTTAAAATGAGCTGAGTAGACTTCAGATGCTCAAAACTCCAGATTACCTTCATCGGCAGAGGCGAATGCTCTACTTTAAATAGGAACAGAAAGTATCAAACTCTCTGATTTGCCGGCCAAAGTACTGAGTCAAATACACACATAAAATATGGTAGATAAGGACAACAGGGGTAGAAACACCAACATGGTCCTTGAGAAAGGTCTAAGACGTGAGCAAATGTAGGTGTGTCTTAACCTCTTCATTTCCATGCCCTTCTAGCTGACCTTCAACTCTCCTTTTCCAGAGTAGGGCTGACTGAAAAACCTTTTAATAAATATTTCATTCTATTTATAATTTTTACAGCCACATAACCACTTAGGACTATGCTACTGCACAGTATGTGGCAGGAACCCAAGTACCTGGAATTACTAGAAAAATAATTACAACAAAAGAGGTAAGTATCGATTTAAGATCTTCATTTACCTTGTCTTTCCCTATAAAGTTAGTTTATCAAATTAGATCACTATGAAAAATAGAAAATTCATCATATACTTGTAGAAGTAATTGTAGAGCTCACATCCCCTTGCATTCTATAAATATGGGAAAAGGCCTGGAAGATTGTTGTTGATCAAAATTATAAGGTTAACTAGTCAGACAGGCCTAGAGAAAGTCCATGACTTTCCATTATATTCCACCCACCTCAAAAAAAAGTTTGAAATAACAAGCAAGCTTCATACCCTAGCCATTTAGATATATTGTTGTTAAGTGCTATCGAGTCAGTTCCAATCCATAATGGCCCTGTGTGCAAAAGAACACTGCCCAGGTTTGTGCCATCCACACAATTAGAGGGACCAGAGGTTCAGTCTTCACTTTAACATAATCCCTCCACCAACTCAGGGCCATGAAGTCCATTCTGACTCCCAGTCATCCTGCACAGTGTTTCCAAGATCGTAAATTTTAAGGGAGCAAACAGCCTCTTCCTTTCCTTGCAGAGTCACTAGTGGGTTCGAACCACCAAATTTATGGCTAACAGTCCAACATCTAACCCGCAGCACCACCTGGGGTCCTATCAAAGGATCCCTCAGAATCCCAAACTCACTGCCATCAAATTGATTCACACTGATTCATACAGGAGCCCTGGTGCTGTAGTGGTTACAAGTTTGCCTGCTAACTGCAAGGTCAGCAGTTCAAAACCACCAGCCACGCTACAGGAGAGGAGAAAGCTGCTGCTTCCTACTCCCATAAAGAGTTACACAGCCTTGAAACCCACAACGGCAGTTCCCCTGTCCTATAAGGTCACTGAGTCAGAAGTAATTCATAGTGAGCCCAATAGATACTATAGCGGCCCTTTGAGATCAAACAAGCTGTCCGTGCTTCTGTCAGACTTCTTTTTCTTTGGATTCTAAACTTAAAGGCAAGTGAATCCAATTAAAGCTTACTAAATGGAAGGTGGTCTTAATGGTCATATTTTGGGTTTTATTTTAAAATTGTATACTCTTCAGCACATGTATCAAATCAAAGTAAAGCTCAACCTTGATTCACAGTAGCTCTGAAGGAAGGCTTAGGAACTATACAACATAATTTCTAACTATTTAAAAGAGTTTAAAAGACAAGCTTAGAGACATTAAGAGTTGAGTTATTTTAAGTTGAAAATATTTGTGCCTCACATAGCATTAATTCACATCATAGTAAAAGCAAATTGCAAAAATGTCTTGGTTTTTTTTTTTTAACACTTACAAAGCTTAAGTTAATTTGTGTGTGAAACAGAACTGGTAAATTTTCATGTCAGATCCTAAGATGAGTGGTTCCTGGTAACTTGTTTGGAAATGCCCTTTTATAACTAGCATGATAAAATAATAATCAACAACACTTGTCATTTCACATAGAAGCAATTAAATGATGAAACAAATGAAATGAGAAGTGCTAAGTAGAAGTTTTCTTTCAAGATTTTTGACCCATACTCTACTCTCTTGCTCAAGTCAAACAGGAACAGAAACACACTAGTATCAGTACAGCATTAGAGCTGTAAACACAACTAGGGCACAGAAGCAAATAAAAAGAAGACTTTGGCTCATCACCCGAGGCCACTTATCTTGTGTGTTTACGACTAGAATAATTCACACCAACCCTGATTATGAGTGATGCATTTACAGTAAGCACAAGTTCTAATCAAACATGTTGAGTGACAGAGAGCAAGAAGTGGAAGCACTGGAAATGTTTCAACAGACTGACAAAGCAACCATCTGTTGACATTCCTGTCCTTTGCACCCAAGGGACCTTCGTCATATGGTAGGGCAGGGAGCTTCACCTTAGTTGTAGAGTCCTACTTTCATGTCACAGGGCACTGCTGGAAGGAAGCTCTCTAATGGCCAGCTCCAAGTATTTGCAGATTTCCTACCAGTCCCAACAGGAAGGCATTCTTCGGTCTCACCTGCACGAGTTCCTGTTATGAGGCCAGTCTGGTGGTGAGCTGACACGCAGTTCCAGGGAGTGATGTCATCTTGACTGGGCTCTGATCTTGATGACCTGCTCCCCAACTGGTGTTGTTGCAGCCCTTTCGCTGGGCTTCGGGTTATAAGGGGACCGAAAAGGAAAAGGGGGAGCAGAATAACAGAATCACAGAAAAACAAAAACTGCTTGCATGTTTCCTTTGTTTTCCCGAAGCATTTTGTACTTCCCTGTGGATTTGACGGGAGGACCTGGGCAAGGGCACATGGAAGCTATACAGATGTCCTTGCAGCAATGGTGGGCTCTTGCAGGGCCTCAAAAACACAAGGAAGATGTAAAACCGACAGAAAACGTTTGGTTAATTTTGATGACTGCCAAACTGGAAATAGTGACTTACTCTTTCTTCTTTGGGCAAAGTGTAGACAAAAGACGTTAGCATTTTGAAAACATTTGTGAATGTAAGAAGTAGAAAATAATGTTACCCATCAATGTATGATCACAGAAATGCACATCACCACAGAAACTACCTTAACAACGTCAAGAAATGGCAAATATGTCCAGTGAATTCGGAGGTCAAATCTGGAAATCATGTCACTGAAAATGAAATAGGATTGCCACTCAACTCCACTTCAGTGAAATCCTTTGCTTCTTAGTACACAGGGAAGTTAAGCATAAGAAGAAACAGAAATTGCCAATATTCCAAAGGAAAGGAACAGAAGTTTGAAAAATAATTAAGCTAAGAAAAAAAGAGATTTAGAATTTTACCATATTTATTTTGTCTCATGATTCCTTTGTCCTTATAAATACATAATCCATTCCCTTTTTTGTTGTATGTGTATGTATAGGGGTGGGAACAATGGAATATGAGTGACTAGGCAAGGATGGAAGAAATGGAAAGATGGGGAAAGGAAGTAAAACATGAGAGAGAGAGAGTATTTATATGAATGCCTTCTCTAAATATGTAGGACCACCCAACAAAGGGCAAAGTTGACAGCGTGGAATGCTTTCTTCTCGCATGAACTTCTGAAAGTATGAGGCCACGGTCAAGACACGTTAATTGTACAGCATCATGGTACAAGTTTCCTACCAGGTGTGTGTACATTCCTTATTCTTGCATCTTAAGTTCCACAAATGACATTATTCATGAAGCAATTTTAGTATATTATTCAGCAAATAGTAATTTGTTCATATAAATCGATCTTGGTTAGCAGCTGCCATGGAAAGGTCCTTCTTCCAAGTTACACTCAATTCAGCACTAAGAACAAGTTGAAGGGCGCTCCTTTTGCAGTGGGGCTTATAACTCATCTGCCACACTAAGTGCAGATTACATGTAGCATCCCCTTGCTGTTCTAAATCTGCAGGCAGTTTGTGTAAATGAATTGTTCTTGTTAGCACCTTTCTTCTCCCATTTCCTTCAATGTCTTTATTGAAACGACTTGGTGTCCCATCGATGACTGGGAGACAGAGGTGCCTCTGTGCTGCCTTGCCTGTCACAGAAGAGACAGAGGGTGTGCAGGAAATCTTGCACTGTGTTCATCTCATCAGTTCTGCCCAATCCACTGGGGTGAAAAATGGATGAGATTTGATGTCTTCAACACCAGCCACCCCGGCACCAAGACGCTCCATGGGGTTAAACTGCAACAGCTAAAAAAGAAGAATTGGGTGAATAGCAGGAATTCAACTGGAAAATCAAGAAAAAGCAAGAATATATCAAAGAAATTGTAAATTCAATCCCAGGGATAAATGGACTTGATTAAGAGCCTAATGACTGTTTCCTTGAAAAGCAACTACGTTTAACACCACTGTAGCTGCTGGCAAGATAGTGAGGAAAACGTGAACTGAAGTTACGCCTTTGTTCCTTATCTGAAATACAACCCCGACCTGTCACGTTAATGTAGTAAAATAGGCCACTTACATCTACCAATTTCCTGTTTCCAAGGCACATTTTCAAGGAGCCTGGTGGCTAGGGGTTACCCATTGGCCTGCTAACCACAAAGTCAGCAGTTTGAAACCACCAGCTGCTCCACAGGAGCAAGATGAGGCTTTTTGCTCCTCTACAGAGTTACAGTCTCAGAAACCAGTAGGACAGCCCTACCCTATTCTATAAGGTCGTTATGAGTCAGAATTGATTCTGTGACAGTGAGATTGAAATTACTGGAAGGTGTATCTTTACATTGACTATATACTGCCCCAATTCTGAGAAAATCTTGCATTCTTAGGAAGTGCAGAGGAACAGTAGAAGTCTTCCCCTCTATGAGCTGTACCTGCACTGGAATTAAATATTCCTAAAGGCCGAGCAGCATGATACGTGGAGAGAAGATTGAAGTTGGATCCACAAGCAACGCCGATGGAAGCATCAATCAAGAAGTCAAATCAAATCATGATGTATTGAATTGGGAACATCTGCTGGAAAAGATCTCTTTGAAATAGTGAACGCAAAGGGGTCATTGAAGACCTGATCCAAGCCATGCTATTTCCAACTGCTTCATGTGCGTGTGAAAGCTGGACAGTAGCCAAAGGAAAGTGGATGCCTATGAATCTTGGTGTTGGTAAAGACTACGAAATATACAGTGGAACACAAGAAGAACGAAAAACTGTGTCTTGCAAGAAGTACAGCCAAATGCTACTTAGATGACAAGATTTCATCCACAGACTTTGAACATGCTATCAGAAGGGACTAGTCCTTGGAGAAGAGTATTGTGCTTGGTGAACTTGAGGATCAGTGAAAAAAGAAATAAGATAGGTTGAAACAAGGACTGGACCACTGTGCTCAAACATGAGACAATCAAATTGATGAAACACGTCCAGGTAGTGTTGATCAGGAACTGACTCAGTCGATTCCAGGGCACCGTACTACAACAGTCTGAGTGCGTTAATTCGTATTATAAAGTCACTTTCTGTGACTTTTGATCCATTTGATCCAATAGATGAAACCTCTTCCGAATTAAGTATGATATATAAGTTAATAGCAACAGTGCTGTTAGTGTGGAGAAGCAGCCACACACAATTGTAGTAGACCCTGAACATGCTGAAGGACTATATCCTGAGCCATTTATGATTCCTCGAATGTTTGCTCACAGCTACACTGGGTGATAGTTATTTTTATGCATCAACTTGGCTTGACTGTGATTTCCAGTGGTTTGGCAAAACACTAGTGGCTGCTGTCCATTATGCAAGCTAATTTAATGTAATGAAAGCTCACCTTCCATAAATTAATATGATGTAATCAATCAGTTGATTGAAAAGGGGGTTTCCTTTGGGTGTGGTCTGTCTCCAGATTATAGGTATTTTGGAAGAGTTTTCTCTCCCTCTTTACTCTGCACTTGTCTCATCATCTGACATACAAACTTTAGGACACAGGGTCATTGGTTCGGTTTTTCTGGAGAAATTTGAGTAAGGGATGATTTGCATACCATAAAATGCATCTAATTTATGTGTAAACTCAATGACTTGCAGTAAATGTAAGGAGCTGATCATCCACAAAGGTTATTTACACCACCACCTTCACTCTCATCCCAAGCCCTGGGCAATCCCTGACCTGCTTCCTGTCTCAATAAAATTGTCCTTTTGGACGCTTCCTATACGTCGAAGCAGAACATAGGCAGTCTTTTGGCAGCTGCTGCTTTCACTTAGTAAGATGATTTATTAAAATTCATACATATTGTAGCATGTGCTGCCTTCTATTTATTAACAGTATTCCACTCATCAGCTAATAGGCATTTGGGCTGTTTCTAGTTTGGGGCTATCATTATTAATGCTTCTATTAATATTCACATATATATACTAAGGGACTTCAAAAAGATCATGGGAAAATGAAATTAATAGATAAGAGATTATTTCCATTAACTCCTTGAAGTCTCTTTGTATTTGTGTGGACATACGTTTTTCCGTTTCTTGAGTAGATTGTTGTGTCACATGGCAAAGGCTACATTTAACTTTTTCTAAAGTTCAGACCTTTTCTAAAGTGGCTGAACCATTTAATAATCGTACCATCAGTGTGTGTGAAGGTTCCAGTTTCTAAACATCCTCACCAACAGTTGGGACTATCTTTTGAATAACAGCCCTTCTAGGATCTATGCATTAATATCGTGTGGTTTTCATTTGTACCCCTTAATGACAAGGAGCCCTGATAGCACAGCAGTTAAGCACTCTGTTGCTAACTGAAAGGAGTCTAAACCCATTAGCCAGGCCAAGGGGAAAAGATGTGAGTCTGCCGCCAAGAGGGTTTATAGCCTTGGACAGTTCTATACTGCCTTAAAGGGTAATTATGAACTTACTAGCAATGTTTTATTTTATTATTTATGATGCTGAACATCTTTTCATGTCCTTATTAGTCTTATATGTGTCTTTTTGGGTAAATTTAAAAACATATACATTTTATATCAGGTCTGTCTTATTACTGAGTTACAAAAGAGTTCCTTATACATTCTGGATTCAAATCTTTTGCCAGGTATATAATTTGCAAATACGTTCCCCCAGTCCACATCTTGCCCTTTCATTTTCTTAATGGCATCTTAATTAAGGGCAGAAATATTTAATTTTAATGAAGGTGATTTTATCAGTTTTTCTTTTATGGAACATATTTTGGATGTACTATCTAATAACTCTTTATGTAACCCATGCCATGCTACTCTCCTATTCTTCTAGAATTTTCAGTTTTAATTCACACAAGTTTTTCATAAAGTTCATGAAAAAATAGAAAGTAAGATAATGAAAAATTTCCACAAACTTTTTGTAGCCCCTTGTTCTATGAACTATTTTGAGTTAACTTTATTTGTTTGTTTTGCATGTGACTAATTTTCCAAGCACCATTTGTTAAAAATATAAATTTCCCCCATCAGATAATCTTGTCATCTTTACTGACAATCATTTGACAATATAAGGGTTTATTTCTGGACTCTAACTTCTATCCCATAGATATATATCGTCTTTACCTCAAGAAATAACTGTCTGAACATGGCTTAATATTAAGTTTGGAAATTGGACAATCTAAGTCTTCTTTAATTCTGTTCAGCTCTTTCAAATGTTTTAGAGATTTTAGGTCTTTTGCTTTTTCATACACATTTTGATAAGTTAAAGGCATATCCATTTTGTTGTTGTTTTTCAAAGAACCAATTTACGATGTCTTTACATTTTCTCTATTGTTTTTCTTCGTTTTATTTCATTGGTCTGTAGTTTCTTTCTCTTGTCTCTTTCTGGAATACTTAGTTTCCCCACCCTTTCAATTTCTTATGGTATATGCTCAGATGGCTGATTTAAGATATTTCTTCTTTTCAAATATAGATGTTTAAGCTACAAATGTTCCTTTAAGCATTTACTTAGTTGTACCCCATATATTATCAAATAAGAACATATAAAACAACATTAGCAGCAGTAGCCGCAACAACCATTTGCATGGGGTAATATCTGACTCTAAAGGTGAAAAAAGAATTATCTAAAATGACCAGTTTTCAGCAAAAAATTACAAAATATATAAAGAAGCAAAAAAAAAAAAATACTACCCATATTTAAGGTAAAAGAAGTCAACAGAAATTGTCTCTGAGAATTCCAAGATTTAGGACTTAGGAGATAGGTACTTCAAAGTAGCCATTACAAATATATTCCCAGAACTCAGAACGAAAGGCCAAGGAAGTAGGATAACTGATGTTATATTGTGGGGTTTACAATTAATGACAGGATGTGTCCTTAAACCTTCACCCAATTCACAAAAAAGGTTAACCAAATAAGTAAATGAAATAAAACATGACGACAATGAATGATTAAACAGATTCTCAATAAAAAACAAAAACCAACCTCACTCTCCATCGAGTCAGTTCAAACTCACAGTGACCCTGTGGCACAGAGCAGAACTCTCCCTGTGGGTTGCCAACACTACAAATCTGTACAGAAGCAAAAAGCATCACCTTCCTCCCATGGAGAAGCTGCTGGCTTGTGACTAACAGCCCAATGCCTAATCCACCACATCACCAAGGCTCCATGATTCGCAAGAAGGTGACAGGAATTATATATTAAGAAAATAATTGAAAAACTTTACAGGAGCACCCCTAAAGCAAATTTGAGATACAAAAAGGGTCAGTGAACTTGAAGTTACAACAATAGATATTACACACTCTGAAAAACAGGCAGAAAAAAAGATTGAAGAAAACTGGAAAGCCACAGATACTGTGAGATAATATCGAGTAAACTGATAAGCATATAACAGGAGCCCCAGAAGAAAAGAGGAGAAAAGTCAACACAAACATCTGAAGAATAATGGTTGAAAACTTCCCAAGTTTGATGGAAAAACTTTATACAATAAACTTCTTTCCCAATCTTACCATAGCGAATGAGGGGAGGGAGTGCCGAGTGGAGACCCAAAGCCCATTAGTAGGCCACTGGAGATCCCCTTGCAGAGGGCTCTCGGGGAGGAGACGAGGCAGACAGGGTGCGATGTAGCAATGATGAAAAATACAACTTTCCTCTATTTGCTAAATGCTTCCTCTGCCCCCACTATCATGATCCAAATTCTACCTTGCAAGTCTGGCTAGACCAGAGGAAGTACACTGGTACGGATAGGAATTGGAAACACAGGGAATCCAGGGCGGATGATCCCTTCAGGACCAGTGGTGTGAGTTGCGATACCAGGAGCAGCGGGAGAGTGGGTT